AGTAGATTTGAAAGAGTAGATCAACATTTAAGCTGGTGAGTTCATAAGTATTTAATGTCAATGTTTGTATAAATTTGAATGAAATTGTTTGTAGATGTTTGAAAACTCCTAGAAAATCCCATATTTCCTACTAGTATAAAAGTAGTCTTCTACCAAGACCCGACTGTTTTGAATGTTTGCTTCTAGAAATCCAATGTTTTTCCATAAGTGTGTGGTAGTTTAAAAGTTCCAAAACTGTAATGCAGTAGTGTTTTTCATGCCTAGAATAGTAGATTTATGTATGTATAAAATCACTAAGGCATTTGATAACCCCGTAAATCAACGTGTTTTTAATACTCCATGTGAGTTTTATAACCATGCTATTGACCCAGACTGCCTGTAACAACGTTCTTCAGGCGTTGGAATGTTATGACGTTTGTCACCCCAGACCTGGCGGTCTAACTGTAGCTAACAGTTTAGGTGCGGGATTGTCAATCCCGTATAGATCTATACACAAGAATCACGCTCTCCCTACAAGAGATTATGGTATATAATACAGGACTTTAACTGCATACTTGAAAGTACGTGAAGTTGAATGTCTCACAAAACTTAGTATCAAATAGATTTACGTATGAAAAGTCCATTTGTTCTTGTATATGAAAGTATTTCCTTGATATAGTATTTATAGTATGTAAAATCTCATGAATATCTAGTAAACTATACCTATTATAGTTTTTCCAAAAGTGTGATTCGTTTGTATGATAAACCCTAGTGTAGTGTCGACTTTGTATGTAAAGTATAACATTTGTAATAACATTATTGAACATTTATACTCAAAATATAAATAAAGTGCTTTATATTTACATAACAACATGTTTCATTCCAAAAAGACAAGTGTTATCGTGATATGTTGTAATAGAACGTTTTCGTACGATAGTTATAAATCACATATGATTGATTTCATAACAAAAAGCATAGCAAAAGATTGATGTTTTCACACGAGGATAATCGTGTGTTTACTTGTATTCCCCCCCCCCCCCCTTAAAAGTGTATAAAAGCATTTACAAAGCATTTGAAAACTTAGTTGTAGGGGTATGAACTCACTTGATAGATTGAAGAAGGTGAGACAAAAACTGAGCAGAACTTTGACTTGATAAAGTTGATTTCTAGGGATTCTCGGGAATCTCGGGAGCGTAAAACCTTCCTTCGGAAACTTGGATGTGAAAACGGGGGCTTTGGGATGGATTCGAGGGTTTAAACGCAGAGCTTCGGCACGAGAAAGAAGAGAATTGAGCAATGAAACCCGAAACCCTTTGAGCTCTATTTATAGCCCAATTTTTGGGTCCCACGTCGTGGCAAAAGGGTTGCCCACATCGTGGAGTCGATCCTATCCCCTTCCATGGACGAGACGTCTGCTGCCAAGCCTGAAAACCCATCAGTCATGGTCCCACGTCGTGACCATCTGTGCCACGTCGTGGCTAGCCTGACAGCCTCGAATTTTGTGTCTCGAACTTGTAAAATCCGTAACTTCTGCGTACGAGCTCCGTTTTCGACGTTCTATATATGCACGCGTAGGTGAGAATATGCTCTACAACTATCGTTTAGATTTAGTTGGCTAATTTTGAATTTATTTTTAATTAATTATTTTTAACAGGTCGGGACACGAAATATCCGTCATAAATCCATAACTTCTTCATCCGAAGTCCGTTTTCTTCAGACTTTTTACCGTTGCACTACTATTGTTGAGATCTTCAATTCTCATTTAGGTTGTTTCGGCCAAAAGTCTCTCGATCTCTATTTCGAGTTTTTAGCTGTCTACTGCTATATCCGGAACTTGGAAAAATCATAATTTTCTCATACGAAGTCAGATTTGGACGTTCTTTTCACATACGTTTACGGTTTAATAAAATCTATAAATTTCATTTAGATACCTAAGGCTAAAAACTATTGTATTGAAACTTCGCGTTTTACGTTTAACAGTATTGACGGTTTTGCTGTGAATCTTAGGTTGGTCATAACTTCTTCGTTATAACTCGGATTTTAGTGTTCTTTATATTTCTGAAACCCTTGACACGATATCTATCATTTATGAAATCCAGTAGAGACTTTTGAACATTTTATTTTTGACGATAATTTCATTATATCAAAAGAGATTACAATTCTTGACTTTTTAGGTCATTACATTGATTCGAAATATCGGGTTGTCACAAAAAATGTTTATTTATCTAAGTCGGACATGTTATCGAACACTTTGTATGCACCATAAACTAGAAAACCCTAGAAAAAAATAGGATGCCCAAAATGCAATACAAATCAAACCTAGATCCCCTGATACCACTTGTTGGGGAAAATATAATCAAAACGAAAGTGTGATGATATCCGAGATTTCGGTTAATGAGAATCAACACCCGAAATACGGAAACATTGGTCCCTACAGAAAAGGGTTAACCCAACAACCAAAACGAACAAACACGAGCAAAAATACTAAGATAACGATGTCTAACACGATCCAAACAAGCAATATATAACAATAATTAACAAGCAAAAAGACACGAGATTTAATGTGATTCCACAATCGCAAGATTGTGTACATACATACGGATAAATGATTTACTTGTATATTGCCCGAATCAAATGGGATTACAAAGCTTACTAATGTACAAAGATAATACAAAGATAATCCAAAAGCAGAAGAATCACCTATAAAATCATCACTAAAAAGAAAGGGGAAGAACTAGGGACAAAGGTGACATAAGAACAATTTAAAACCAATTAGGATGCTCTATTGCTACTTCCCATGTTAGTTGAAGTCGCATAGTAAAGTGACCCTGATTAGTAATATTATTAGATAGAACTAGCAAAGAATTAGTAGACGAAGTAGTAGAAATGTTATGTGATAGCTTCGGCTCTATGCTAGTTCGATGATGCTAGTTCAACTAGCTAGGAAGAAACTACCAGCAACCTGAAATATCCAACTTTCTTCGGAAAATGTCAAACTCGATGTGTCTAGATACGTTGCATATCACAAATTACACAATAAGGACATACATAAAGTTGGATCCTAAATCATGACATAAACCTTGTTTTTATTCCAATTCATATGCACACACACATATACATATCTACACGGATACATATACTTCACTACCAAAACCTTGAAAAACTGGTCATTAGCAATAGGCAAATCCGTTGCGAATTATTGTAATGCCCTTTAGAGACTAACCCTGTCAGTTGCGAATTATCGTAATGCCTTTTAGAGACTAACACTGTCAGTCGCACAACTCCAAAGAAAATCTCTTATAGCGGAGACAGTATCTCTTCGAGGTGAGAAATCGTTGGGACTGTCGAGCGAGTCATCGGAGAGTAGATGGAAAAAATTAGACACAAATGAGAGTTGAAAGCAGAAAGACGAGGTCGTTGTTTGGTTATAAGCGTCGACCATAGCGGCGACAATCAATACCTTTAGTGGCGACATTAACAAATAGCGGCGACTTACACAGAGGGAATTGATGCCACATTTTTTTTCGACCTCTAGCGACGATATTTTTGACCTTTAGCGGCAATATTTTTGTCGCCAGTATTGGATTTGTGTGAAAACGAGACCCCATCCATTGGATTAGATACTCGATCGAACGGTTGGGGTTTACCAGAATTGGATAAAGCGGATTCGGTCCACAAGGCATTACCAGTGACGCCTTTAGCGGCGACTCAACAATTTATCGCCGCTAAAGGCCCTTGTCGCTGCTAAAGGCATCGTCGATAATGCCTTTATTTCTTGTAGTGAATGGCGGATCCCAACATAAAGTTTGTCACTAAAATGATGGGATTTCCTACTTGCTGTCTATCTAATTACCAACTGTTTCTTACTCTTCCTATAAGCTCTCTCACTTGTTGGTGTTCATTTTTATAATACTTTTTTTTTCCGGAATTTGTAAAATATCTATACGCACAAAGCAAAAGACTCCCCCCAAATACATTAATCATACTCACGGTTCTAAATAACGTAAGACGTTACTTGGCGGCAATGTCAAACCACAAGTTTCTTCGAACCGTGGCGAGCCACGTTGTTTATAAGGCGTGAATTAAGGCGATACTTTTATATATAATTAATAATTATATATATATATATATATATATATATATATATATATATATATATATATTTCTATATTTTTCATTTTTATATACATATATGACTTAAGGCTGCATTTTGTTAAAGCTTGGAGGCAACTACAAGCCTTGGAGTAATGTCGCGCCATGGCGAGCCTCTTAGAACCTTGATCATACTCACTAAGATAACTTTTTATTTACCGGAGATATGACTTATTGACTGGGCCATAATAGATGAGAGATAATGTGGGATCAAATAGAAGCAAATAATGAGATTTTAATATTTCAAGTGAGTAAATTAAATATATAACGTGTGTGTTATGTATAACATGAAGAAGGAAAAAGAGACCATGCAATCTCAATCATCGCTAGTGTAAGAAAGCACACCATTGTATTTTATTTTATTTTAGCGATGCTGTTTTCCAAAGTCTTTCTTGGAGTTGGATGATCAACGATGGAATGCTTTTCCACTTTTTGTTTTGTATTTTACATTTGTAGCTAGATAGCAACTTGCATATAAAGAATTTAACATTTACTTATTTTATGTAAAAAGGCATGTGTCCACTGTCTACACGTCCCCCAATATGTGGGTTTGTCCCTTGAATTCCTCGTATGTTTAAATATACGAGCTGGGTCGTCAAGTAGAAAATCCAACCCCCCTTTTCAAATTTTTTGGTTTTATATAAATATAAACAATAATTAATATCTATTATTCTGTATTCCCTATTTGTATTATCTTCGATCATGATGATGTCGTCAAAATACATATCCAGCAATATATGATTCTTCTTACTTATCTAAAAGGAATCTTATATAATTTAAAATTAATCAATTTAACTACTCCTGGACTATACTGTAACTCCAATCAATATTTTAACTGATTATACTTGTCAAATAATAAACTGTTACAATGATATAAAGTAAACATATTTTCAAATATGAAAGATTTTTGGGGGCATAGTTTGAACAAATTTCCCGATAGCATTATGGTGAGTTGACAAAAGATGGACGGTTTCATCTAGAATTCAACGCAGACAAAACATAAAACTCATGCCAACTGCGTGTAGCATGTGCTCTCAACGACTCTGTGTTTATATTGCTTCTCATGGTGTTATTTTCAGTCACAGGTTGTGTGGAAATAGGTTTTTGAAGTAGATGGCTATGAATCAAGTTTGGGGATTGTTGGTGGTGTTGGTTTTCTTCAATGGATGTTTCATTGAGGAGCAAAGGCACACCTGCGCTCAAGCTCGGGTACATTCCTGGAACTTTATTTTTTGTTACATAAAAAGATGAAAGTCTTCTGTTACCATTGTGCAAAACCCATGTTTTTTATTCTTTCAGATTCCTAGATCCAAGAAGCTGATGAATGCTAGTGTTGTTTCAAGACCAGAAGTTGTAAAAATTGGGTCGATTTTGACTTTTGATTCGACCATAGGCAAAATTGGCAAAATTGCATTAGAAGCTGCAGTAGAAGATGTGAATTCTGATCCAACGGTTCTTAATGGAACCAAGCTGGAACTAACCATTCATGACTCAAACTCTAGTGGCTTTGTGGGTATCATGGAGGGTATGTCTTCTAAACACCTGCTTATGTATTTTCTTCAATACTGTTTCCTTTTCTAATTAAAAAGTATCCAAGGAGGTTTCTTTATGTTATAATATATATATCATGAGGTGTTTCAAGGCATACAATGAGTCCTTACATTTTTGCAGATTTAGCCTTAAACTTTATAGTTAGAATCATGCCTGATGCCTATAATAGTAAAATTTATTAAGATAGCATGCAATGACAATCGTGCTTCAAAATGTTAAACTTTTGGGGAAATTTGAAGTTAGAACCAGACCTTTACATGGAGTTAATTGCGGGGTCCATAACCCTTGTTGGATCAAAAGATTACGGTGGTTTGAAGTGTTAACTTTAGTAAATGTTGGTAAATTAATTTAGTGTCATCAAATCATTTTCATGTGTTTCGAATTGATATGGGTGCCAAAGGGGGTTAGACTATAATCTAATCCAAATTTCGTGCTATGAGGTGAACATTTACATAAGATGAGTTTGATCGGGAACAAGACGAATGGCAGGGTTAAAGGGGCTGTGCTCATTTCCACTAAAATATTTTAGGGCAATAGAGGCGACATATGTTGCTGCCCACTATTGCCAATAGCTATTAAGAGTTAAGACGTGAAAGCCTTTCAATATTTGCAAGACTATTCCATATCAAAAATGGCCCCACCTACCATATAAAGTTAATTATTATGGTATATTATTTATTAAATAAATATAAATTATAGAGTAATATATTATTATGTTACAAGTTGATAACATAGAGGGCCTACTTACCATTTGAAAGGCTTTCAATATTTGCAAGACTAATACATACGTGGACATGTCATATCATTTGAAAGTGGTTTGCAATTTCATTTGCAAGACCGATGTAGATGCTCTAAGTACCCACTAATGTTTTGTCTCTAATGCTCAAACGTCTCCCTTCTTTTTTTTTCAAATTAAAATATTGTTTCTCATAAAAAAATAACAAAAACGCAGAAACGACAGCAAAAAATACTGAAAACTAGAACATTATAATGCTAAAGTTATTTGTTTCACGAAATGTGTACAAATCATAAAATAAATCATAAAGCTAACGATCAAATAATGTCTTCAAGTCTGCTCTAAACACCGAGTCATTATGAAAAGGATCAGCAAGAGTAGCCTACAAAATAAACCAACTACCAGTTACCAAAGGTACTAAACCACCAAAGTATCAACATATATAAACCAAAAGACCAAACTACCAAAGTATTGACATAAACCACGCTATCAATTACCAAAGTACCAAACTAACTTGTAATGGATAATCAACACAAACCAAAATTACTAGGGGTAAAAATGAGTCAAGCTACTCTGATCGACTTGTCAAAAGCTCGACTTGAGATGAATTTTAAACGAGCTAAGCAGAGCTCAAGCCTGTGTTACAAAGCTCAACTTGCGAACCTAAAAAAGCCTACACACACTCACACACACACACACACACACACACATATATATATATATATATATATATATATATATATATATATATATATATATATATATATATAATTTTATTTTTATATATTGAAATAAATAGGTATTTAAGGAATGCCATTTTAGAGAATTAGGGTATACTGTATACAAGTTGATTCCAATCCGATCCTGATCCCTTATAATTCTCTAGGAGCCGATCTTGGGCTCCGACCATAAGGCTCGAGATGATTTGAGCTCGTGCTCGAGCCCAAAATTTTAAATGAGTCGAGCTGGAGCTTTAACCCAAAAGTTTTAAATGAGTCGAGCTTGAGCTTGGTCAAGCTTGGGCTCAGGTTCGACTAGATTCGTTTGCAAGCCTAAAATTACTAAACTAACATAAATCGGGAGGTGGTGGATCCTCAAAACCATTAGTGTCATGGCAAATGTTAGAAAATCGAGGTTTTGATTACTTGGATTACTAAGAGCCGTGATTGCACTTTCATATTAAAGGATTTCGATGAAGAGAAGTTATGATCTGTATACCATAATTAGAATGACAAAAATTAATTATGACCAATATTCAGACAACTAATGTTTGAAAAACTGCCAAAAAAAACTGTCATAATGCTGTTAGAAAACCACCACTTAACCATCAGAGTAATGTTTCAGCTCGACCCCAGCAAGGGAATGTGCCCCTTGGACCTCGCCAAGGGTTGCCAACCCTTGTACCCTTCTACCAGGGGCGCTACCCTCGGACCCCCGTCGTTGAAGGGCTTCACCCCTAAATAACAGTGTATTTTAAATCTGAATAAACTCAAACGAGTGTGCAGACCGCACCATCCTTACTTGTTCAATGTTTATCAAAGTTACATTGGTCAATATATTTATCCCATTACACTTAAATAATATTGATAACACAAATCACCAACACCCCGTGTGATTAGCCATCAAGTAAAAGAGAATAATTCATATGAATGCCATAGCCTGCAAAGTTAAAAGATATAGAACATAGAAATACAACTAAAATACAAAGCAATTTAATTACAATATATAAACAATAAATATAAAGTCTAGCTTAATAGTTCAAAAAGTATGCAATATTGTGTAGCACATCCAAAGTCCTTTTGATGTGGACGCATATAAATCTCAAAGGTTTTTAGATAACATAAGGAACATACATTATGAGGTTGAGCAACAACTTCATATGTCCCAACTAAAGTACAAACAACACCATGATTGACATCGACTTCAAGGATATTTATATGAGGTCTCCTTTGGTTGCATCTTGTAAAAGATCGTTTGATGTCATGAAATTCAAGTTAGATCTGGTTGATGTTAAACAAATTCTAAAACACCTTGATAATTTTTGAAGTACTATGAGTAGTTCACCTCATTAGTTACTAAAGATTATGGTGTTCAGTTATGGCCAGCTGCTAAAGGCCTTTAGGTATTGAATGATGTTTAGTACGTCGGAACACCTACTAAAGAACCAAGTATAAGCAATATGAAGAAAAAAGTAGCAAAGTGGGACAACTATTGAAGAATTGTATTAACGGGCGAAGAAATTAAATTTTTTATAGCCATATTGTGAAGACCGGGCCACAACAATTTTCAGCACCTGAAGACTCAATTACTGAAGATGTTAAAGACTAAGAGACATGAAGACTCAATTACGCTAATAATATAACTAATATGAAAATTCTCCAAGGATGGTTTTCTTATTATTTTGATGTCCTAATTATCAAATTATCTCAACGGAGTTCAACATTTTGAACTCTTCAAGAAAAAACAAAGTGTGTGCGATGATCAACCATTGATAGAAAGAAATGCCTGAATACACACAAGCTCACACTAGAGAGAGAGAAGAAATTTTTTATTGTGAGTTAGAAGCCTCATGAGAGTTTTTATTAAAACTAGGATTTCACAAATACACAAGGATTTTTGTGTTCTATATTCTTAACTGATTGACCATAAAATAGTGTGTTTCTTGAATGAGTTGTAATTAGGGGAGTTTGTTTAATTAGATATCAAAATATTCTTAACTGATTGACCATAAAATTGTGTCTAGAGCTGCCTCCGCCATAAGCATTGAGCTATACATTGTGAGAAGTTTATTAACAAGAGATTATTAGATTATGATAATGTTCCCTCTAATTCCTTTTGTTGCAACAGCTTTACAGTTCATGGAGAGTGAAAGTGTGGCGTTAGTAGGTCCAGAATCATCAGCCTTAACTCATATGATTTCCTATGTAATAAAAGAGCTCAAAATTCCACTCCTATCTTTCACCGCCACCGACCCCACATTATCCTCACTCCAATACCCGTTCTTCATCCGTACAACTCACAGTGATATTTTCCAAATGGCTGCCATAGCAGATATAATCGACTACTACGAATGGCGTGAAATTGTCGCTATTTATATAGATGATGATCATGGGAGGAATGGAATTACTTCATTAGCAGATCAATTAGCTTTTAAGAGGTCTAAGATCTCTTACAAAGCGCCTATCAATCCAGATGCAACCCGTGAAGACATACACGATGTTTTGCTTCAAGTTTCTTTCAAGGAATCCAGAGTTCTCGTTGTTCACACTTGCACCAATTGGGGATTAGATATACTTGATGTTGCTAAAGAACTTGGAATGATGGATAGTGGGTATGTGTGGATCGCAACCGATTGGCTTTCTACCATTATAGACATAAACTCGCCACTCCCCAAAAAATCGATTGCTTCTATGCAAGGAGTTATTACATTAAGATCTTACATAAAAGATTCGCAACTTAAAAGAAAGTTCGTTACCAAATGGGAAAACTCGACAAAACTCGGTTTGAGTACGTATTCTCTGTACGCATATGACACTATCTGGCTGCTTGCTCGTGGTCTTGACGATTTCTTTCATCAGGTTGGAAACATTTCATTCTCGAAAGGTCCCCAAATGAAGGACTCACAAGGCACATTCGTGAATCTTGATTCTTTGAGTGTTTTTAATGGAGGGAAAGCCTTGCTTGAAAACATCTTACGAGTACAAATGAATGGAACAACGGGACCAATCGAGTTCACTTCTGATAAAAGCCTGGTTTTTCCGGCATTTGAAGTTATTAATGTGATTGGTACTGGCTTTAGAACAGTTGGGTATTGGTCAAACTCTTCACGATTGTCAACTTCTCCTCCAGAAACACTCAACACGAACCTTACAAACCAATCTAGTTCATCTGAGCTGTTGTACAGTGTAATTTGGCCAGGTCAAACTGTTAAAAAGCCTCGTGGATGGTTTTTTCCACAGAACGGAAAACAGTTGAAAATTGGGGTTCCAGTTCGAGTCAGTTTTCAGGACTTTGTGGAGGAAGTCAAGGGGACTGATAGGTATGTGGGATACAGCATCGATGTGTTCATTGCTGCAGTAAAACTGCTGCCATATGCTGCCCCGTATACGTTCTATTCTTATGGAGATGGTCATAAGAATCCAGCTTACACTGACCTCGTGAGCTTAGTAAACGCTGGTGTGAGTGTTCTTTCTAATTTGATCTTCAATCTTTTCAGCAAAAACCAAGTTCAAATTTTAGGGTTTTCTTTGTGGTAAACACTGTAGGTCTATGATGCTGCAGTGGGTGACATTGCTATCATTAGTAACCGGACACGTATGGCGGATTTTACTCAGCCGTATATTGAATCTGGGCTAGTTGTGGTGGCACCTGTCAGGAGGGTAAGCTCTGGGACTTGGGCATTTTTCAGGCCTTTTACTGCTGAGTTGTGGTGTGTTATTGGGATCTGTTTTTTAGTTGTGGGAGCAGTTGTTTGGATTCTAGAACATCGCAGAAATGATGAATTTCGTGGTACTCCTAGACAACAAGTCGTCACAACCCTATGGTATGTGTGTGTGTGTGTTTTAAAAGTGGGGAATAAAACAGGAATCAAGAACATCTGAAAAGCTTGCTTGTCACTAATGAGACCCATAAATGCAAATAGGGTTTGAATCATTATTCAGCACTAGTACTCATTATCATGTATAAGAGTATCCAAGAACGTCCACAATAAGGAATTTTTCACTAAGCTTTTTTGGTATCAACAAATAAAAAAGCTCAAAGTATCTTGAATTCTTGACTACAGTAAAACTTTTTCTTACCCTTATATATTTATGGGTCTCACAGAAATAGAAAAGCTATGAAATGATTTTAATATTATTAAAGCGTTAAAAAGCAATACGTCAAAGGTTGTAATTTACATACAAAGTGAATAAGCTTTGCGACGAAAAAGCTCTCATAATATCTTTGTTGACTTTGGGAATCTTATTAGACACAATAAGTTCATATTATGAATGATCTAATTTGTGTTATTTTGTCACTGATGGTTCGCGTTTGGTTCATTGCAGGTTTAGCTTTTCTACTTTATATTTCTCTCACAGTAAGTTACTCAAAATGAAACCGACTAAATCATGCCCTATTGACTGACATTTTGCTTTTCGTTCTATACCCATTAATTATCTTAACTTAAACATGGTTAATGCAGAACAGAACATGACGAGCAGTCTTAGTCGTTTCGTGTTAATTCTATGGTTGTTCGTGGTTTTAATAATAAGCTCAAGTTATACGGCAAGTCTCACCTCAATATTGACTGTTCAAAAACTATCGTCCCCTATTGAAGGGATAGATAGTTTAAAATCAAGCAAAGATCGTATTGGGTACCAAGAAAGTTCGTTTGTCCGAAACTATTTGGTGGAAGAAATTGGCATTTCGGAAAATAGACTTGTTCCTCTTAACTTGCCGGAAGACTATGAAAAAGCTTTAAACGATGGTCCTCAAAATGGTGGTGTTGTTGCAATTGTTGATGAACGTCCATACATTGAACTTTTCCTTTCGACTCGTTGCCAGTTCAGCATCGTTGGTCAAGATTTCACCAAAAATGGATGGGGATTTGTAAGTAAATTAAAATTCTCAATTTCATGATAGGTGCTATTTATGCTATACGTTTGACTTCTAATTTAGTCAAACTGAATCATTTCTAAACTTCAGATTTGATATGAAGTTGTTGATTTTATAGAGAATATTGTTTACAACGTTAAAACATCATAACAGTTAATGTCTCCATTAACAAATGTTAGATTCAAATCATAATCGTTTTGTGTTCTTGAATATTTATAGGCCTTCCAACGGGATTCACCACTTGCAATAGATATATCGAATGCCATTCTCAAACTATCTGAAACGGGAGAGTTACAAAATATCCATAACAAGTGGCTACTGCGGAGTGCTTGCAGTTCACAAGGAGCAGAGTTTTCAGTTGACAGGCTCGAGCTAAAGAGGTTCAAAGGCCTATTTCTTCATTATTGGATTAGCTTGTTTTCTTGCTCTTTTTGTATACTTGGTGCTCATCATATACCAATACACTAAACACAAACCAGATCCTTCTGAGTCACCTGGAACAACACCAGGACGCCTACAAACGTTCATTTCATTTATTGATGAAAAAGAAGATTCGCTTAATACCCGTTCCAAGAAAAGGCTTAGACAGGCAAGTTCATTTAGGAGCAACCGAGATATTGTATCTTTGAATGGCTATAGATGTAATCGCAAAGAATCATCATCGATCGCACCAGAATGTTCAGAACATGGAGATTAATCACATTCGTATTTATGAAAATGTATTTTTCCACCTATGCCAGGTGAGTCCAATTCAGAAAAGTTGTTAAAGGGTATCAATTTGTTAGTAGTTGATAACCAGTTTCCTTTACATTGTATATATAGCATGGTTTTACTAAGTAATGAATGTTTTTATTATTTCTATTGATGGCAGGTTCAACGTTCATTATAATTATTGTTCAAGATGGTAGGTACATGATGGCTCATCATGGTAAACTATAAGCCGTATGAACCATAGTTTACCATCGCCAACCATCATGAATATTTTCAGTTCATTGCAAACTCTTTGAACCATCATCAACTCACATACAAACGAGATAAATCACGCACAAAGACCCAATATGTACTACTATGGTTCGGTCAATATGTGACCTGCGTCAACATGGCACATGGCATGAGGGAGTGTTCTTATTCATGCGCTTACAAACGATAGTACAATAAAACCCTAGCTATAAGTTATATTATATAGGCAAAGTACAATACATAACCCTAACTAGAACATGGTTGGCCCAACTACACATATCAACGTAGGTCACATAGATATTGGATGTCGAGTTTCTTTACTTTGCTTGGGCAGGTTGGATATACATTTGGGTCGTTAACTCTCAAGTCCCACTTAACATAAACCATAATTTACTCTAAGCTTTCCTTGTTATAAGTTCTTCCATCCAATGGTTTACAATGCTCCTAACTCATTGGAAGGAAGAACTAGTGGTGACGACATAGTTCAAACAACTTTAAGTACAATACATGATAAACCTAACTAGAACACGATTGGCCCAACTACACATATCAACGTAGGTCATTTAGATATCGGATGTCGAGTTTCTTTACTTTGCTTGGGCAGGTTGATATACATTTGGGTCATCAACTCTCAATTCCCACTTAACATAAACCATAGTTTACTCTCAACTTTCCTTGTTATAAGTTCTTCCATCCAATGGTTTACGATGCTCCTAATTTATTGGAAGGAAGAACTAGTGGTGATGACACAGTTCAAACAACTTTAAGATCATTTTGGAGTCATCAAAAAATGCATTGTGAGCGATGGGTCATCATGGTCATCGAGATATTGAACAACCAAAATGCATATGGTCAAAGACTAGCACTTAACAATATTTATATTAATTTCCAGTTACATTTATTTCGGTTATTTTTTAGGGTAAAACTATTTGACGTGTGTTTTTGAACCACTGCAATCTTTCACGAAAATTCGTAACTGTTAGGAATTGGTGTTATAAATACGTGTTTGATACCTTCATTTGTGTTGATCGCTTTTCTGTCTCATTAATATTACAATAAAAAATGTACCATCCTCTGTTCATGAGAAGAGTATTTCGTAGGGAATTAGTGGTTTTAGGCAACCAAAACATAATGTAGCGAAAACAACATAGTTTATAAAAGAATTATCAAAACCGGATATATCTGAATCAACTCTATTAACCAAGATCAACCATAGGGTTTTTTATAGAAAGTACATATTAGTAGATTATGAAACCTTTGGTGTAAATTTTTTTGATCAAATATATTATAACCTTTGTTGGTATCAACATGATCTTTCTTGGCTTGAAGATTAGGGTGGGACTCCGTCAAACACGGGGCAACGGTAAATGACTCGAGGCTGAGTGATGCAGGTATATGAATGAATAAGTGTGATATGGATCGGGTAAAGTGAAAGTTGTAAAATCGTTATGCGGTAGCCAGTCGGTTGACTACCCTAGATTATAAATTAATTTATTTAAAATAAATAAATTTCACCAAATAGGAAAGTTTGATTCATTATATGCTTTGATACACATCACAGATATAAGAGACAAAGGAATTAGTTGGCACGATGAGAGACTAAGAAACGTAGGGATCAACGTGATGAGAGACAAAGATGTGAATATGAATAGGGCATTGCCATTTGCCTATTTTCTTTCTTTAATTTTGAATTATTATTTTTATTATTTTTTTATATTTTATTTTTATAATTTTGACCATTTAACTTTTTGACTAATTTTTTACATGACCAATTTTGACCAAGCACCCTAATAAGACCGGTTAGTATTATTCTTAGGCGGATGGAGATCATCAAGTGATAAAGAAACAACACCATACTAATAAAAATTAAGAATTGATTATGTTCGTGTATTTATGAACACTCAAAATTAGCTTCACGAGCTACCATATCAAAAAGATGCCTTCCTAATAAGTTTGTGAACCCTATATTGTGGGGTTAGACAATTAAAAGAAACATAGCTCTTGAAAAAATAAAAATACTAAAGAAAGGCCAAAAATATGGAAAACAATTAAAAACCCATTAAGGAATCATTCATGGGACTTATCAGGATAAAGGCTCTTCAACATGGCTTAAAATAAGGTTTTACTTAACCTCTTTTAAGCTGATACAAACTTATATTCATCCCTTTAAGTGTTTTGAACCCAAAATAAGAATATGAATCAAGCCCAAAGTGATCTAGAGACTTGAAATGGGTTTGTCTTGCATTAGATGAAAATGACAAGGATGTCCATGCATCACTAAGGGTTTCAAGTATAGATCATTTAGTTTTCAATGAAAGAAAAATCAAAATTACAATTTATGGAACATTTAGTTTCCAGTTAGAAATAATCAAAATGAAGTTATACCTCAAGGGTTTGTTTTCACCGGAAATAAGTAATCTAATTCATAATACAAAGGTAACAATCCTAGAAGAATCAATCACGAGATTGCGGTGGCCAGAAGATGCCTTCCATGAATGAAAATGAAAAAAAAACCATATAGGAGATGTAATCCACACATGAAAAGCTTAGGTACTTATGCGTTCATGATTAAGGCCAAATGACTTGATAATTCTATTTAATTGTAAATTATCTGATATGGTGTTAGGTACGAATTACAAGACCATGTGTAGAATTGATATTCTCTATTTTTTATAAAGGCCAAGGCTTTAAAAGTTGTTAGGCGATACTAAATTGCTTAACTAAGGACTAAATATTAATTGGTCTAGTTTGGGATTAGTTGAAGACTAATTGGACCGTAAATTGTAAATCATTTTTTTTTAAATATGACTAATATAATAACAAAGTAGGTAAATACAACTAATATCATAACAAGATAAGTTAAGACTAATAACATTGTCATATGATTATATCAAAGAGAAATTACAAGGGTTCTCAGAGAAAAAGCATAAAGACTACAAGGAATAAAGCGGATATAAATACTAGCTAGACAGAAACCCTAATGGGCTAAAGACGAAAAGGGCCCATAAACAAGCGGGCTAATAATATAGACTAACATCCCCCCTCAAACTCACGATGCCGCAACAATAAGCATTGAGAGTTTGTCACATAAGAACCGAAACCGAGAAGTCGATAAAGCCTTCGTAAAAATATCCGCAAACTGCAAAGTTGATGAAACAAATGGAAGCGAAATGGTCCCAAGCTGCAGATGATGACGAGTAAAATGACAATCAATCTCAATGTGCTTCGTCCGCTCATGAAAAACAGAATTATTCGCAATTTGTATCGCATTTTCATTATCACAATTCAAGGGAGTAGGTGAAGAAATGTAAACTCCCATATCCGCAAGCAGCCACCGTAACCAGATAATCTCGCATGTAGTTACAACCATAGCACGATATTCAGCCTCCGTGGAAGATCTAGAGACAACATCCTGTTTCTTGCTCTTCCATGAAATAAGAGACTCTCCAAGGAATACACAAAATCCAGTGGTAGACTTACGATCATGACGATCACCATCCCAATCAGCATCACTATAGGCACGTAACTCAAGAGAAGACGTCGAGGGAAACAAGAGAGTCCGAAACTGAGTGCCACGAAGATATCTCAGAATACGAAGAACAGCTCCCCAATGAACAGAGGTAGGTGCAGTAACAAACTGACTGAAATATGAACAGCATGAGCAATATCTGGACGAGTGACTGTGAGATAAACCAAACTTCCCACCACAGTACGATAAAGATTCGGATCAGACAAAGGAACACCATCAGTAGGAGAGTATCGAGCATTGGTTTCAAGAGGGGTATCAACAGTCCGATTGTCAGAAAGTCCCGCCCGTGTAAACAAGTCAGATATATATTTAGTCTGGGAAAAAAGGTACCCTTTCTTAGACTGAGCGACCTCAATACCCAAGAAATAACGCAGCAAGCCCAAATCCTTCATAGCAAATCGACGAGCTAGATCATGCTTCAAAGACTCAATACCACCATGGTCATCACCTGTAATAATCATGTCATCCACATATAAGGACAGAAGAATTCGTCCTGCACTCGAGCATCTAACAAACAGAGCAGAATCGTGATTACTCTGGACAAATCCAAGAGAGGTAATCACTGTGGAGAATTTCTCAAACCAAGCACGAGGGGCTTGCTTGAGCCCATACAAAGCTTTGCGAAGCCGACAAACCTCGCCCGGTCGATGCTGAATTCCTGGAGGAGGGGTCATATAAACCTCTTCATGAAGGTCACCATTCAAAAAGGCATTCTTGACATCCATTTGAAAGATCTTCCACTGTCGAACGGATGCAACTGCAATCATAGTACGAGCTGTCGTCATCTTTGCAACTGGGGCAAATGTCTCCTCGTAGTCAAAACCATATTGTTGGGAATACCCTTCTGCTACAAGTCTAGCCTTATATCGTTCAACAGAGCCATCAGCTTTTGTTTTTATCATGTACACCCAACGACAACCTATCGTATGTTTCCCAGGAGGAAGAGAAACCAAATCCCATGTATGAGTCTGATGAAGAGCAGTGAGTTCTTCAGCCATAG